ACAGCACGTTGACCAAAGTAATCCTTGAGAAGCCCAAAGTAGCTTTTTCACAGCACGTTCACCAAAGGAATCCCTGACTAGCCCAACTTAGCCCTTCCACACCACACTCGCCAAAGTAATCCCTGAGTAGCCCAAAGCAGTTCTTCCATAGCACACTCACCAAAGTGATCCCTGAGTAGTTCAACGCAGCACTTCCACAGCATGTTCACCAAAGAGATCCCGGAGTAGCCCAAAGTAGCTCTTCCACAGCACGTTCCCCAGAGTGATCCCTGAGTATTCAAGCTAGCTTTTCCACAGCACGTTCACCAAGGTGATCTCTGAGTAGCCCAAAGTGGCTCTTTCACAGCACGCTCGCCAAACTGATCCCTGTTCACCAAAGTAATCCCTGAGTAATTCAACGTAGCACTTCCACAGCACATTCACCAAAATGACCTCTAAGTATTGACGCCACATTCACCAATCTGATCCCTGAGTAGCTAAACCTAGCTGCCTAGCTCTTCCACAGCACATTCACAAACTGATTTCTAAGTAGTTCAACTTAGCTGGTCCACAGCAACCACAGTTTTTAGTAGCGCAACCTAGCTTCTCCACAGCACATTTACCAAAGAGATCGCAGGATAGTTGTAGACTTGTATTGTACGCAGTTTTTTCCCCACCCGTAGGACTGTGGGGCTGTTAGATTTTAAGAACTTTGGACTTCAGTAGACTCGCTACTTCTGCACATCCACCAGAGTGGTCCCAGCGTAGCTCAGAGCAACCCAAAGAACACAGCACATCCACCAGAGTGGCCCACAGAGGCCCAGAGTAGCCCTTACACAGCACATCCACCAGAGTGGCCCCGAGTAGCCCGCGTAGCCTTTACACCAGCACATTCACCAGAGTGCTCCCAAGTACCAGTTCCACAGCATATCCACCACAAGTTGACTTGGCAGGGATGTGGGGTTGCCAGGCATTAAAAAATCGAAGTTCAGAAACCTCACAAGTAAGTATTCGATGTGTGGTTTTGTTTTCAATAAAGAATCCTTTTCGCGCCGAACCGCTTTTCTCTT